TTAGAGAAACCAATCATTCTGTTGACAAACTTTAGACTCCCCCTTTTCATGTATTTATGGATATAATTATGCAACATTATGTTCCCACACAATAGGGTGTACTTTTTCATAGTATGATTGAGGTCATACAAAAAGGTCACGTTGGCTAATGGAGGTTTTTGGAGGGCTGAACCAGCTGCTGTTTTGGGAGTAGGCGGCCTTCTTCTGCAGCATCAGACTGTCTGCTTATCCAGGCAATAAAAGCATTTATCAGAAGGAACAGGAACCATTTTAATACTAATCCTGTGATGTAAGGTAGTTCTATTTATGTTGCTTTGTACAAGACTGCTGACTGAGAAGTACATGTCCTGGCATGTTCTGTACTGATCATAGAGGTACCATGCAAACATACATGCAGTGCAACAGAGGGTTGGTTGCCAGTTCCATCTTATGATGAATGTCCAGAGTTGATGGGCCTGTCTGTCAATCTAAGAACTTTTCTTGCTTGATAATTACAGCCCATCACAAAAGCGTTTATACGTCTAAAACCTTTTCACATGTGTCAAACTCAAGCTCCATCCGGCCTGCTATTGATATTTATGTGGCCCTCAAGACTCTAGAGGGCTACTTAAGTAGAACTTCAAGATCTTATTATGTTATCAGTCAGATCAAATCAGCTTTCATCTGCATAGCGACAAATTGACATGACACATGAGACGAGTTTACAGATTCAGGAGACACCTTGAAGATTCTATGACAAAGTGAGGCTTTTTCACAAAGTATCAAGTACAGGTGGTGTTTTGATGCTTTCAGTGCTTACTCCCTTTGCCATTCCATATTTTCCCTCATGGATAGATTTGCTTTTATTTATTTGTGTGTGTTTAATATCTGAGTTGTGAATTCTGTATTCAATACAGGTTTTGTATGGGGGTTTGAAATCCTTGAAAAGTGCTTGATTTCTCTATAACCTTCCTGATATTAAACTGCACAGTTAAATCTCACAGAGTAGCCCTCGACGCTCCGGCTTTGCTTCTTAAGACTAGCCAGCTGCAATTAGCAAACACCTGATTTAACTCTGCCTCTGCTGAGTTCATCGTAGGAGCAACTTCTCAGTGAAATGCTGGTGAAAACGTTGTTAAAGGTGAATAGAGGAGTGACGTTGTGCTGAGTGTTGGAAAAAGCAGAACTTTCTTAAAGAGATACAAGACCAGTTCAGTATGTTAAATTGCAAAGTCAAATTTTATAACAACTGAGGGTGACACAGTTACTTGATTTTGCTATAAAGTGATTCCGCTTGGCTAGAAAACATAATATTGCCCCTTTAACATCCCTGTTAATGAATGGCAGGCATTTAAGGAGGAAAAGTAACTGTGGGCAATCATAAAAATAAAATAAAAAAATGTAGCATTTGTTCCATGTTCCACTGCTCCTCTACGTTATTCTGAGATTCTGCTGCCGATTTTAACTGAGTCAGTCTCAACATCCTCCTCTGTCACAGCTGCTGGGTGGAAGGCGATGCCAGCCTTTGTCACACTGCTGTGGCAGCTTTGGGTAACAAAAGTTTTTGGGTTTTTTTTTGGGTACTGTTTAATAAGGATGTGTGGATTTGAAAAAAAGAAAAAAGCTTCTATTTCCAGAAAGCTGAGCACATGCTGATTAAACTGGATCATGTCGCTGGGAGGGGTAAACAACTTATTTCCAAAATCATTTGCATTTGCGTCACCTCAGACTATTATTATTATTATTATTCTGTCTGTGGTTTAAACCGACCCTGAAGATTTCAATGAATGACTGGCTTTTAATCAGCAGAAATAAAGGGATTTATCCTTCTGCTTCTTTTAGATTCAACCATTAATCAGACTTTGTGACGGTGAATCACCTGAAATCATAGACTGGATCATTTCAGTCTGTAACTATTCCAGTCTTTACTGAGTCTTTACTATTTATTCCTAAATGTGTAGGCAAATCTGCCTTTAAATGATATCTTTATTTATTTTTTTGCTAATGACTTAAATTTTCACATGTATCACGACACATTGGGACTTACCTATTTTTACACTGTCACTGTGAGAAGTCATCATGAGGAATAAAAGGGATTATGTTTAGGATACAGAGTGGAATGGAAATATATTTTATCATCCCAAAGATGGGAAAGTTCAACAGCAGAAACATGGGGCAGGGAATCAAAGCATGCAGGTTAATACAAAGAAGAAAGTATTAAAATATACATAAAAAAACTAAATGCAACATTTTATGCAATAAGGGCAAAATTATGACAGACAATGGTGCGCTGTCAGCAAACGCAACATTCGCTGATACAAAGAATGTGCAACTGAGTCGGACTCAGAGACAGATTTGAGCTTATTTGAGTATCCCAGGGCGGAATGTCAATTCAACAACCAACTTTAATGGATTTAAGAATCAGACAACGTTTGATTTATGAACTTGTTGATATATAATCAAAGGCTCAAACACGCAGATAAAGACCCTGTATAGCTAATTAGTTTTTAGGTGAATATGCCTTTATTGTAAAGCACTTTGAGAGGTAAATATGCTACTCCATGTCTTGCAGATCACTTTTTACTATGTTGCATGATTAGCTTTTCAAGGCTTTGTGGTTCTCTCTCATCTCGTTAATTTCTTTGTCAGAAGGAAAATTTGTAAAATCAGCATATCAAATAATCATTTTCTGCAATTGGAACCTTTGCGTTCATCACACTCTCCTCTCATAGAATGAAGAAGGCCAGAAAAAAAGTAAATAATCTACAGAGAAGTTATGGTCCACAGGTTTAGATTATTAGCTAAGTTAAGATCAAGTCAGCAATTTGACCAGAAAAAAAAGAGCTAATTTTCATAACATCATGCATAAGCTTACCGTCTGTTGACATTTATAATATATTGACATGCACAGACTTGCTCTTTAGACCTTGCCTAGAATTATTTAATCACCAAGGAGAGTTATGAATCTGAAGATCAAATCTTATTAATGACCTGATGCTATCACAAAAGCCTTGATCAGGTCGCCCTCAGGGAATAAAAACACTCCAGAAATGTCAGGAAAAATTGGCATAGACCATGGAGTCTGCCAAGGAGGACATTCGAACTAAATACCTAGAAAAGGTTAAATAAATGTCTTCGTTATCTGGCGACTGGTAACAGCTGATATCTGTGTTGGGCAAACAGAGATGGGGCAGAGTGATAGATCACAACAGGAGACAGGAGTTTAGAGCTGCCATCTTCCCCTCAATTTGAGGCTCAGTAGGGACAGCGGACCACACAGCGGTCAGCAGGTGTAAATGGAGCCGGGTTGTTGTTGGCTTTGCCGCACAAACCGAGCCTGGATGAAAGCAGGAGGACGCAGAGCAGTCAATGAGAGCCGCAAACAGAAAGACAGCAATCAGAAGAGTGCCAGAGATGTGAAATGGAGGATTTTCTGCTTTCTGTGAGCTTGACAAAGTAAATTATGGCCTTAGTGAGCAACACAAAACAACTCCTGTGTTTCCGACTGCAGTGTCATCTCAAAAGATTCATCCGTTGCGTGGGATTCTGTAATTGTGTACCATGATTATGTCGTGGCTTTATTCATTCGCATGAAGGGTTTATTGTTCTATTAAAAATAAAAATATATTTTTTCAAATCTTTGACATAGAAAGTGTCTGAATATCCAGTCACTCTGTGTGATGTGATTTTCTATTTGTAACTCTTCCAACTCCTGACCGTCTAAATCACTAAACTGAGATGAAAAGACTGAGTTTTTTTATTTTTATTTTTTTAAAGGTGACCATCTCTCATCACAGCCCTTTTCAAGTCAGGCCATGCATTTGTATATTGGATTGAAGTCTGGGCTTTGACTAAGCCACTCCACCTTGTTGTCTTCAAGCTGGTTCAGCTCCAGCTGGATGCGTCGGGTCGTCGTCATGGTGGATAGCAAATGTTCTCTGAAGCCCAGTTCTCCTGCTGATGGAAACAAATTGTTCTTTGTGCTCTTTATGCAGTCACTCACTGTATGTTCAATACTTTTACTGATTTGTCATAATTTTGTAAAAAGAAGTTTTCACTTTGACGTTAAATTATTTCTTTGGTTCTTTTTGTGTTGGTCAGAAAAGCTAGCGTGCATGTAACAAAATGTACATGACTTAATTTTTAATTTAAAAGGTAAAATGACTAGGAGTCAACAAATACTTTTTGAACCATAATATATGAATGGGTTAAAACACAAAACCTTGTGTCAGAACAGGCAACAAAAGTCTGCAGCTCTGGTTACAGACTGAAAACGGCACGGTGCAAATGCACACCACACTTTTCAGATTTACATTTGCACTCTACACGCATCCTTTTCACTAAGTTTGATCATTACGCTCTGCTCTAGTCGGCCTATCACCTACAATCGCTATGAACCCTCTGCAGGTTATGTTTGTATCAACATGTGTCAAAGTCATGGAAACTGAATGAAGGAGAATCCGTGTTGTCCTCGCGCATATGGACAGAGCCGTTGGCTGTTAGAGAGACGCGTCTCCGTGAAACGTGTCCCGGTCCTCAGACATCATCTCGCTCGCTTCCTCCGCAGGCTCGTTGATTTCCAAACACCGGTTCAAGCTGCGAGGCCACAAGAGGGGGGCAGTGAGCGGGAACACCGGGCGGTTCGGTGCTTCTCCTCCTCCTCATCCCATCCTGCAGTTCGAATTAAACTCAAACTGCAACATCACTGCTGCCGACATCTTTTTTTTCTTTCTCAGTTTTTTATTATTAATAATATTATTAATATTCTCATTTAATTTATTTTTTCCGCCTTTGCTCTGCTTGTGGAGGTATTTAGGCATGCTGATCCCTCTGGGCTCTTCGTTGCGCACCTTGACTCAGATGAGACGAATAACTCAGCTGAGCTCATCCATAATCATGGCCGCAGAGCCAGCCCCTCGGCGCGACGCGCGTCAGCTCGCTCCATAAGTGGCTCGCCGCGTCTCAGTTGGAGCAGAGGAGCAGGAGGACAGCAGAGGAAGACGGAGCAGACCTTTCTCTGACAAAGCTGCGCGACCGAGTCGAGAGAGCGCGCGCTCCTTCTGCTCCTGGCACTGCGCGTAAAAGTCGTGTCTTTGTTTTTACGCACGGCGCAGAGTGGAGAGATTTCTCCTCAGAAACTCCTATCTCCTGCAGATGTAGTCAGTCCATTATAGTGGGATTTTATGTGGACTGGCTGTGTAATTTTGTGTTTAATTGGAAAAGCGCACGTGGAGGGAAACTCTCCACTACTGTTTGGTGTGTGCGCGCGCGTGTGTGTGTGTGTTCTGGAAGTAGACTTCATTCTGTTGTAGCCTGTTGTGGTGACGCGATTCTTGCGCTCTGAACATCAAGCATGGATCCTTTATTCAACACCACCGAGGCGCCAAACGGGACGGTCGGCTGCAACTGCACCAACAACGGAACCGGGTACTGGAACCAGTTCGTGCAGCCGGTGTGGAGGATCGTCCTGTGGGCGACCGCGTACAGCTGCATAGTCGTGGTGTCGGTGGTGGGCAATGTGACCGTGATCTGGATCATCATGGCGCACAAACGCATGAGGACCGTCACCAACTATTTCCTCCTCAACCTGGCGTTCGCCGAAGCTTCCATGTCCGCTTTCAACACGGTGGTCAACTTCGCCTACGCCGTGCACAACGAGTGGTACTTCGGACTGATCTACTGCCGCTTCCACAACTTCTTCCCCATCGCGGCTGTGTTCGCCAGCATCTACTCGATGACCGCCATCGCACTGGACAGGTAACGCTGCGGGTAATGGCGCACAGCTGCTGTGGTGACAAAGCCCATAAAGCAGGTCACTTTACAGTAGGCTTTAAGGCTCCCAGAAGTATCAGTGTGTATTAAAAAAAAAAAAAAAAAAACAGCAGAGGAATGTTGTAAAAATGGAGCCGTTCAACCTGCGGAACAGCTTCATCAACTCAAAGGGGTGAAAATGAGAGAAAAACTCGAGTCGAGCAGTTAGAGACGTTTTGGATGGCCTGATTGTCTCCAACATGTAAATAAAATGAAACATAAGTAACACACGGGATGAAGGTATCACAGTTATATGTCAAATTTAGAAGTTTGGCAAGAAGTGAGGCGAAGTGTACACTTATTTAATCAATTAATACTTATAAAAGCCTCAAAGTTATCATCTATATACACAAATTTCACATATAAAACAATACACAGCCAAGACAACAAACAGCATCAATACAGTATTTCAGTGTGCAGGTGTGCGATGGAAATACTTCATTTGAAAATTTTCTGGGGTTTTCGTGCGTATGTGTTTTAAAAAAACCAGTCCTTGGCTGGACTGGGTTTGCAAATTAGGCTTGAAAAAACTTTGTACAAAACAGCTGAACTGAATAAGTTTTTTTATATTAAGACTTGTGTTTTAATTTCATTTTTAAGCTGTTCCACAGGCTTACATCGCTATTATATATGTACATAGTTTACTCCTTCTGACCATATGCATGAAAGTTGTGTGTCTTTCGGTTAAGTGCATCAAATCATTGCCTTCTTCTCTGTCACAGAATTTTTTATTTCCGTGGCTTACGGGCAACATTTTTTGTCCTTACATCAAACAGTGCTGTTTTGAGTTCAGTTTCATGTAAAGTTTTTGACTATAAACATCATGAGTGTTTTCACAAAATCTGGCAGCCTGCAGCTAAGATGTAACAAAAGGTCACGCAGGTCAAAACAAAGACATGAGACACTGGGAAGCCATCACTTCCAGTTGTCTCCCCCACTGCTTTTGAGCTTCAAATTCATATTTTAACAACTTCTTGACTTGCGTGAGCTTAAGCTTTCCCACCATCCCCATTTTTCAGCCGAACTGGTGAGACACAGTTTTGTCATCTCTGCTGCTGCTGCAATCGCGCCTGCGGTGCTTCATGCTCGGCACAATTCAGCACAGCTCGGCAGTGGAGCCGAGCGCTGACGTCGATGTGCTGGTTGTAACAAAATAACCCACCTGAGATCCATTCAGGCTCATGATGGGTGGTGGCTGCGGTGAGGGAGGGGACTGGTGAGGCATAGAGAGCTTCAGCGGGAAAAAAAAAAAAAAAATCAGTGTGACTCTATTTAAAAAGAGAATAGACAATGGCAAGGTTTCAGCGAGATGGATTACTGAATGAAATGAGTATGTTCTGGAAATTACTTTGATAATTTACACAAGGAAGTGACTTCTATAAAATATTTTTTTTAAAAGCTGACAGAACAAGTAAATCATCATGACATTTGATTCTCATCTCCCCTCAGTGTTTGGTCTGGGATTCCTCCCAGTCAGACGGATTCCTCCGATAGAATTCCAACCTTTGAAAGCATCGAACAGAAGAAGTTTTGGAGGAAGATGTTGATTTTCTACACTGTTTTAGGATTGTAGTCTTCCTGTAGTTTTAACAATGGCAGCAGAGGAGGTGAACAAAGGCACTCAGTCCGTGTTGGTCACTCTTTCAAATACTGAGCAATTAAAAATGGGATGTTTGAGGCGGGGAAAATGGTGTGAGAAATCTTGTTCGGCTCAGGACAATAAACAGTGGTGGACTGTCTTACTGTAATTCATGTAGTTTAGCAGTTTGCAGTTTGTTTGCTGGGGATGGTAGAACCTTAGAGAAACATCAGCCATTGGCGCTGGACTGGTCCGATCAAATGGGCCAACAGACGATGTTCATCTGCCACCCTGCAGAGAACGTACCAGAAAGTGGCAGGATGACTCGCCGTCTGGGTGTGAGAAAGCTAAATTTGCAAACTTGTGAAACAAACACTTGAATATTTTACTACAGCATCTGTGGAGAAAAGCAGTGACTGACCTTTGTGCCAGTGCTATGCCGTCTTTTCGAACACCATCAAGCTGTGGGAATCTATTTATGGAAGGGAGTCATTGGCTCAAAGTCCCAGAGTCATGCAGCGACTCAGCCAGACTCTGGACTTGAACCGAGTGGAGGCATGAAAATAGTTGCGCATGTGTCCAGCTTGACCTTAGGCGAGTTTCCAGCAACAATAAGAGAAGGAAAATAATGCTGGACCGCACATGTTGAGTCCAGAGAGAGGCTTGGTAACTGACATTACAGCCCAATGTGCAAACTGGATGGATTTATTTTTAACCTTTTTATTGTATAATTTTGACTTCTTTATGGGAAAAGGAAGCACTTCATTTTAAAGGGGCAGTATTATGTAAAATTGACTTTTGTGAGCCATACATCATGTTATGATGTTATTTCCTCCTAAAAAAACAAACCTGTGGTGTTGCCTTGATTTTTTTTTTCATGTTCGAGAAATACTTGAATCTCCCGTGGCAACCATTCAGCTGTGCAAAATGCCTGGGTGGACTTTTCCACTGCTAAGCTTGTTAGCTTGACGGGATTGACAGTTTTACGGTGCCTCGCAAAAGTACTCATACCCCATTAATTTTTCTCTTTTCCCAACAAACTCATTACTTCAGTTGCAATTTATTTGAACAAAAATGACCAATCAGGTAACATTTCCAAAGTTACTTGATTTAGTAGCAAAAAGAAAATTAGGGGAAAGCTTCAAAACAGAAGTAAAAGAGAAGTTTATATATATATTATATATATATATATATATATATATATAATATATATATATATATATATATATATATATATATATATATATATATATATGAAGTGCTATATACATATATATATATATATATATATATATATATATATATATATATATATATATATATATATATATATATATATATATATATATAATAAAAACATTTTAAATAAGACAATTATCAAACCTTTGTCAAGGTTTAGACAAAACAAAGCAAGTTACTATTTGTTAGGTCCCATTTTGTTTGTTAGGTCCAAATCCAGAGTATATAAATTTATCCCTCATGATGAGCTCCAGAACTGCAGCGTGGAACAACATACTGCTGCTGGAGAATAGCAGAAGAGGTGTGTATGTGTGGTGTGTGTGGGGGGAGTAATAACCCCGACTGATCCTGTGTCTGCTTCATCATGGCATTAAAGGTGACCAATTATGCTTCTTTGTACAGGTTGGGATGACTGTGGGCTTAACAAAATATGTTCATTACAATTTATGCACAAAATCCTTCTTAACATTTACACCCTCTTGTGAAAATAGCTGCAAATAGACCCCCAATTATATAACCATTCATCTTTGAAAAGCAGAAGTAGAGCCACCTGCGCAACGAGCAAGAATGCAGCAAGTGGTTTCTAGATGATAAGTCAACGACAAAACATTTGCATTTTCCAGCAGCCATTGTGCAGCACACACAGCGGAAAAAGCAGCTGACCAAACATGCTGGAGTTCTGCTTGGGCTGCTAGGAGACGGACGGCGAGCTGCTTGAGTCGCTAGGTGAGAGGCAAGGCCTGCTGCTTTGTGCCGTTCCAATCTGGAACTTTTTGAAACGACTCATTTTCCACACACCAAAAAAGAAGAACTTTCTGTCAAAAAAACAGCTGGGTGTCATTTGTTTTAGTACTTGGACTGTTTTTAGAAGAAGCAGAAACCCAAATGGAATAATAACAACATGAAAAATATGAATTTTGCATAAAACCTCCCTTTTAAATAAGAGATTTGTTGATCACTTAAGAGGTTTTTCTCTTCTTAATACTCACAGAAGGACCTTGTATGAAGGGGGCAGGGTCAGTCAAATCATCAGTTCGGCTTGATGTGAGACTGTCTCTCTCTGTACATGTTTCATGGAACAGGCTCCAGTGAGCGGCAGTGAAAGAATGCAGACAGACTGATGGATTCTGGTCGAGAGTTTGGATCTGTCAATGTGCTCGGCGCCGTGTGGAGGCTGTTCTTCTTCTTCTGTGGTTAATTTCAGTCCTGCGGACAGTCGTCTCTGATTGCTGCTCTTGAAGCGTTTCTTTGAATTGCTGATGAATCTCTCCTGTGCGTACTTTAAATATCAAACTAATCAGTTCATACTTCACCCAAGAAGCAATAATCATCTGGATGAGTCATTTGGGAGCAATAAGGAGGGATTGTTCAAGCGCCTTTTGTTTAAGGAAAGCTCTTGATTCGACAGATTAGTTAGAGTAGGAATATATCCTAAATACATCAATGTTGCGGTATGTATGTGTAAATTAAACATATTTACTCAAACTGTTAGCAGCTACTGAAGACGCTATGTCGTCTTTGGCATAAAAGCTGCTCAGCTTAGCCAAGACTGCAGTTTATACAATGTGCTGACAGTCTGCAGCTCTGCTGCCGCCAGGATGGGGAGCTCCAGATCTGTTTCCCGCAGTTCAGTCGGTCCTTTAGTAAAACACTGTGTAAGGATTTCATCATTTGGTCAGCAGCATTCCTGGGCACCATGCGGGCTACATACAAGCCAAATATATTCAGCCCCTCTAACACAAGGTTCTGTGGTCCAGACAAACCAGAAGCTTTGTTTCCAGCTACAGCATCGGTCCTGGACAAGCTGGATATATGAACAAACAGACATGTACTCAATTAAAGAACAAACCCATTAGCACACTATTTTTAAGCATTTGAGTCATTCCAAAACCAGCTTTGACGTGTTTTTTTGGGATCATTTTCTGATCTAAAACCTCCAATGGGAGGACACTGTTTAGATGTGTAGGAAGCGCCGAGACTCAAATCTATCATAAGCTGGAAAATCAAAGAGATGTCAAAAGCAAGAGAAGTTTTAATGTCAACAGAGACTGAGAGGGCGGTGAACTCTTCTAAAATTTGACACCTTCAGTCCTGGCTGTAATTTGCAGCTGTTCATATGGACAAGCAA